GGAACAAATATATCCTTGACATAATAAGGGGAAAACATACTGTTTATCTCTTTAATAACCATCTTGAGGAAAATTAATGTTACTTTGTCCTTTGTGCAGAACAGTAATTGGATTGTGTGTTTCATTTCTATCTGGACAAAGGCCAGGATATTGAAATACTTCTCAATATTAGATTTTCTTGTTTAAAAATTAGATTTTATTGGCATTCTCTTTCCGAGATTTCTTCATTAAAAGCTTCATTAAACATAAATCTTCTTTTACACAGCAGAAAACAAAATTATTTTAAGGAGGTCATTTTAAAAGTCTTTTGGAAGGGTGGTGTAAAGCTTGTGACTGGAGATTGTCATTTCCCAGGGATGTGGCATTCCAGGGATCAAATCATAATCGACTTTGTCTACATGTGACTAATGTTAATTACAGTGATGCTGGAAGCTTTAGCACATTGCTATGTTGTAGCGTCTAAGGCTATAACAAATATGTTGTTTTTAAAAATGGAGGGGGTGGGAGGCATTCTGCCTAGCTGTTAAGACTCCAGTAGGGCACCTGTGTTCCCAGAGTAGGGTTGTGTTCCATCCGGCTTCAGTCTTTAGCTCCTGCTCCTGATTCTAGTTCCCTGCTAACGCAGATCACTGGAGGCAGCAGTGCTGTCTCGATTCCCCGGGCTCTGGGCACTCATGTGGGAGACTGGGGTTGGGTTCCAGGCTCCTGGCTTTAGCCGCAGCCCAGTCCTAGCTGTTGCAGGCACTTGGGGAGCAAAGCACCAGATGGGAACTCCTTCTGTCTCCCTGTCTGTCTCCTGCCCTTCCCCCAAATTTTGCTTTTGGAATTGGAGTCTAGGCAGCACTAGAAAGGGCTTGCTTTAGCGGCATCTAGATCTCGGGGCCTTTTCTACCCTGGAAGAGATAAAGCCTCCATCAGGGAGACAGCATTTGCATAGCCACTGTGCTGAAAAACTGCAGCTGGGCGTTAATTACGTTTCTGCCCTTGGCTGTGATTACGGTTTCTGAACAGGAATGAGCACGCTCCACACAACGGAAAGAGGGAAGTGACAGTGATATAATTTTCCCGGCTTAAAAATGCTTCCTACTCCTCGCAGCCGGCGAATGTTGGACGGGCTCACTTCTCCGCCCTGCACAACGTTGTCGCCTGGGCAGAGTTTGTGCAAGCCCAGTGGCGCCCTCGCTTTCTTGAAGCTCTGTGTTGCTGGCTCATGTTATTGAGGGAAAGGAGATAATGAAACGAGTTGGTTTTGAAAGGCCTTCCCTACTGGGCAGCAAAACTCAAATGAACAGGTCCAGGGAACTATGTCAATAAGGACCAGCCCTAACCAAGAGAGGGACTTATGGGTAAGAACCTAAAACCAACATAGGTGTGCTGCTTGCAAAAGGGGAAAATTCATCCTGTGATGGTGAAAAAACAGGGTGTAAGACACATGCCAAAGAGTAGATCTTTCTCCCAAAAGGAGAAAATAGCAAAGAAAAGCACGGCTGTCACACGTGAGCGTGCGCTATTTTGTTAGCTTCTATCTATGCTCTTTTAAAGGAAGCTGCAGATGAAATTATCTCATCTCTACTGTGGACAAGTAGACGAGTGTGAAGTGAGGGGTGGTGACTCTCAGGGCTCAGAGGAAGGTGAGAGCCTAGAAGCCAGGACTAGGTGTTGAGTTGCAGCCCAGTGGAACTGGATTCCGAGGGGCCAGAGGCCAGGATGGGTTGGAAGCATCGCCTCTGGAGAGAAGGTAGACAGCCAGGACTGGATTCTAGGCCAAGTGTCAAGGCAAGAAGACCAAGTGGACCAAGTGGGTTTTAGGAAGTGGTGCTAGGAATAAAAAGTCTCCAAGCTCAGTTGCCATAGGCAGGCAGCTCTATTAATAGGATAGCTGAGGCTGTGCCCCTGGGGAGAAACCAAGATTGCAAGACATTTTACAGCTGCCCCACTCTCTTCTCCTCCAACCCTGAAGTCAGAAGGTAAGCTTTTCCTGGGCGTCCGAGTTGGGAATCTTACTCTCTGGCTGACTCCAGGCCAGGAGGACGTCCTCACAGGTTTCCTTCAGTCTGTCTCCTCTCTAGGCTGGGCTGGGCGTGGGGTGCACAGAAGTCTGGCTCTCCTCCCTGAGCACTCTCTTCCTAGGGCCAGGGCTTCTCAGGCTACTGGAGCTCAGGACATAGAGAGACGTGGCAGGGGTCTCACAGAGCAAAGTCTGGTTCAAGTCAGAGTAACTCCTTGTGGGAGGAGGGGACTGGAATTGGAGCTTTGGGAACCTCAGATGACCACCTGATCACTCCTACAAATAGCTCATCCAGGAAAGACCAAAATTCAATGAGAATTGATAATGAAGAAAACGACATAGTCCTGGTACAGCGTATAAGAAAAAAATGAAAACGGAGCAACCAACTTGACTGAAAGATGAAAAACACTTCCCAGAAAAGTAGTCTATGGAGCAGAAAAAATACTAGAGGACTTCAAAAAGTTAATGAAACAAAACCCCTATGAAGGAAGGCCACCAAGCGGAAATACAGGAACCGAGGGAAGAGATGGCATGGCCGTAGGAAATTCCCAGAGATGGACAAGTAGCAATATCTCAGTAGTATGTCTCAGTAGTAATATCTCAGTAGTAATATCTCAGTAGTGATATCTCAGTAGTAATGTCTCAGTAATAATATCTCAGTAGATTTTAATTTGCTGGTTCAATTCTGATACAGGGGCCGGAAAAAAGGTCTGGGTATAGAAGACCTCAGTGGCAGGATTAGTGAGGTAGACATGAGTAAGCCATACGAAACTCCATGACCTACAAAGAGGGCATAGATTCCCCTACCCTCCAAACACTGTGGATCTTGAACTCTGCTCTATCTGTATCCGCTCCTTTGGTTGTCACACCCAGCGTCATGGCTCCAAACACACTTCCAATGCTGACAGTCACTTGCAGCTGAACTTCTCCCTTGGACTCTCGACTCCCATATTCAGCTGCCCACTCAACGTCTCCATGTAGACGTGGAACAGGCATCTTGAGCTAAGTATGTCAAAAACTGGGCTCCTGGTAGCCCACACCTGCCAACCAGCTCCTCTCAGAATCACCCCAGTCCCAGTAGGTGGGGGCTCTGCTTTAGCTTGGGTCATGCGTGGTATCTCATCATCTCATCTCTATCATGTCAACTCAACCTTCAACATTTGCCCAGAATTAACTGCTCCTCACCACCTGCACTGCTGCCCCCCTAATCCACGCTACCAGCTTTGCCTACTCCTCGACGGCCTCTTCACTTCTGTCCTGCACCCTGTACAATCTGTTCTCTTCCAGTGGCCAGAGTGGCTCCATGTCACTATTCTGCTCTCAGCCCTCTGGGAGTGAAACGCAGAGTCTTAGAATGACCTGCAACCGTCCCCCAGTGCCTCTGCAAAGGCCATCTTCTGCCATTTTCCCTGGCACCTTCTCTGTTAAACCGCAGCCTCCTGGGTCATGCTAGGAACTATGTCTCCTGCCTCAGGGCCCTGGCACATGCTTGTTATCAGTAATGCACACAGCACCATCCTTCACTTCTTTTCTCAAATGTGGAAACTTAAAGAAGAAAATACTGCAACATGTTGACTTTCAAGAGTCATAGATGAGGCCAGTGCTATAGCCTAGCAGGTAAAGCCATCACCTGCAGTGCCGGCATCTTGTATGGGCACAGTTCGAGTTCTGGCTGCTTCACTTCTGAGCCAGTTCTCTGCTATGGCCTGGGAAAGCAGAAGATGGCCCAAGTGCTTGGGCTCCTGCACCTGCATGAGAGACCTGGAAGAAGCTTCTGGCTCCTGGCTTTGGATCAGTGCAGCTCTGGCCATTGTAGCCATCTGGGGAGTGAACCAACGGATGGAAGACCTTTCTGTCTCTCTGTCTCTGTCTCTGTCTCTCTCTCTCTCTCTCTCTGCCTCTGCCTCTTGGTAACTCTGCCTTTCAAATAAATAAATAAATCTTAAAAAAAGAGTCATAGATGATAAAGGCACAAAGACTGTTAACATAGATTGTTAACTGCTTGCATTAGAGTTTGACTCTTTCCCAAGCTCTCCAATGTACTACAGTTAGCTTTAACTTATGAGCACAACACTATGAGTGGACACTATCATCCACATTTTACCATGGGACACATTAGCTCCAGTAAGCTATCTTGTCCAAGGTCACACCACCAGGAGCTTCTAGCAGCAGGAAATATAAGCTGCACTCCAGTTGTATGGCTCCAGAGCAAGCGCTATGTAATTATGATTATTATTACATAATTATTATTATGCAACAATAACAATAGGATAAGTAAAAGGACAATCACAATAATAATCACATAATGACAGCAGCTAACACTGAGTACTCTGGAAAAAACAGTTTCGGGCACCTCACATGCATTTACTGATTCAATCTTTACAGAACTGTAGGAAGTGAGCTTATTATTATTATTTTATTTATTTATTTCTTCTTAAAGCTTTTACTCAGACATAATGGCAAATTATTATTATTTGCAGTTTGCAGAGGAGGAGATTGGGTCAAAACCAGCATAGATAATCTGGCCAAGGTCAAGTGGCGGCAGTGGCAGAGCCAGGGTTTATACCAGGTATTCAGACTCCGGATGCTGGATCCTTAGCTCTGCCTGGCCTTACAATATTTGCCCCCTGCTTTTGTAAGACATGCTAGGTACAGGGTATAGGTAGACATAAGTGAATCCTTTAGTTGGATAATTAAGGGAAGACCGTGCTCACTCAAGATTTCTTGAAGGCATATGTCATTTAAGACATACCGTTCTTAAACTGAGGGTAAGCATGAAACAATTCAACATAATCAATAATTGTTGGAGGCTGCCAGCCAGTTAAGCAGACGTTTGCGGTTCGTGAAATATATCTTGACCATCTTTTTCCAAGGGAGATAGTTTATCTTGGAGCAAGACGCACACTCCTGCAGATTAACTTTCCATTTCAGCAGCAACTTGTATTTCCCCAGAGAGGCCCCCAGCAGGCGGAGGAAAAAGAGCTCGCCTTACCTGGGGTGACTGTAGGCTATCTGCTTGAATTCGTCGTCCCAGTTAGGTCTCCCGTAGAAGGTTTTCTGCTTTAAGCCTGTAATCACGTCAGTATTCTCATCCCAGTGTAAAGCTATGTGAAGAGCCTAAAGGAAAATGTGGTATCAGATGATATTTAGAAAAAAAAGAGGATCCTTCTATAAAGAAAGAATGAAGTAGCTATGCTCATTTGTAGATTTAGCATACTTTTTTTTTTTTTTAAGCAGGGCTGGGAATGCTTATCATGATGAGCAGATATCACAGACGTTGCATTTTAGGGCAAGTGTGCTGCCTCATTTATTTTTGCATCGGGCCTCACTGGAACAAAGTGCCTCCTTAAATGTAGTAGGTGTGCATGTCACTAGCCTAGAAAGGATATTTTCTTGGAAAAGTTGAGCATAATACAGTAAATATGGTAAGGAAAAAGCAGGACTAAATGACTCCCTTACTTCTGACAAAACTTCTCCAAAATTAATCTTCACCTGCTGTCCCCATTCACTTAATGGCAAAACCTGGGGATTTAAGAAGGGCATTGCCAGATTTAAAGTGCCATGAAATCTCTGGGACGAAGCTGGATCTTATAATCAGATCTGCCTGCTGGGTTGAAACAGTTTGATAGACAGCTGTCTCTTGGTATCCACAGGGGATTTGTTCTAGGACTGTCCCCTCCCTAGGTACCATGGGGGACACAGAAATCTCTTCTATAAAGTGGTGTAGTATTTGCATACCACTCTGCACACCCTTCTGTGTCCTTTACATCATCTCTTGATTTTTTACAATACCTAATACAAGATAAAAGCTATGAAAATAATTGCTATCTTATATTGTTTATGGAATAACAACAAGAAAAACAGCCTAACATGTTCCCTTTACAGGATCTCTCTCTTTTTTTTTTTTTTCTGACTATTTTGATCACTGTTGGTTGAATCCACAGATGTAGAACCAAAGATCTGAAGGCTGACTGTTTACTGTTAGATTTCAAGTTCTGGCAGACAGGATGGGATGGCCAAATAGCAGGGGTGCATGGTTGGAATTCTGTGCCCAACCATTTGCCTTCTAACTAAGCCAATCCAGGCATCATGTAACTAACTAATGGTTGGTAAGGCAGAGCAGGGGCTCCGTCCATCCCTCACAATCACTTCTCAAACTGCTGTGATTTCATAAGCTCTTGTTGAATTTGGTAGCGACCGGATTCTTGCCTCCTGGGGTCTGTGTCCTGAGCTCACCCTTTAGGCCCATCAGTAGCCCTGGAGCTCACATGTCTTGGCTTTGGTGCCCAATTTGCTCTTATCTCTTACTCTTCTTGATGCCACCAGTTTGGATAACAACCATGCTGGGCCCAATCCATATGCCAGCTTCCTGCTGTGAGCCTGACTTCGAGGGCTGGTCTTTCCTTCAGTCTAGGAAAGCAGCTAAGGCCAGGGAGCTTCAGCAGACTATGGAATATAATGAAAGTGTCCTGGCCTGAGTCTCAGAAATCCAGGCTGCAGGAAGTTGACAGTAAGCAGATTAGCCCCTAGATATCTGGACTACGATTGGGAAAGAGATGGGGAATAGGAGCAGGCCGGGAGAGAATGGGACACATGACAGGAGTGACAGGTCAGGGAGGGGGAAGAGCAGGGACCAAGCCTGGGGAGCGTGGACACATGGCATGGTGGCGGCCACATGGCATGGGCATCGCTAGTGCCAGAGTAAATGGTGGGGGTGAGGTTGTGGGTGGGGGTCCTGTTGAGAAGGATCTGAGAGTTCTTGGTGAGAAGTTTGGGCATCATTCCCTGAAACACTAAGGGAGGGGGGCGGGGGCTCTCCCTTCTTAACTTTTGTGGTGCCACCAATCATTGATGTTCAAACATTTGGAATTATATTTGTTCCATATTTCTCAGCCCAGTGTTCAGCTAATCTCCAAACTCTGCTGATTTGCCCTTCACAATACCTCTTCCATCTGTCCCTTCTGTTCCTATCATCTTGCCACTTTGAGGTTGTGGGATTCAGTTTAACAATTGGTTATTTCTAAAACAGTCTCTTGATTCTTGAAATACTGACAGAATGCACCAATTATTTTTTCCTTAAATGTTGAGATTAGTGATTTCATGCTTGGAATTTGAGCATCTAAAGAATTTCCAATATGTCATGGCAAAAATTTAAGAAGACATTTATTTTAATCTCATATTTAGAAGAAAATAGTATATTTTACAGCCTCCTCTTGGGAGTGGCAGAGATGGGGGGGAGGTAGAATGGTGTTGTCACAAAATCAGTTTCACTTATGAGAACCTGTCTCACAACTCCCAAATGACAAGGCTGCCTCGGTGGACACTTGGGAGCAATTACTCCAGTAGGAGGAGGGCCGCATGGTGCTACGAAGCACAAGACAAAGGCTGCATCTGTACTGCACCAACTGTATCATCAGTCAAAATCCCTCTTGAATAGGGAAAATGTTTGTTTGGAAAACATAATTAACACTATATAATTCATTAAGATGTTTCAAGCCTAGTTCCCAAGAAACCTACATTTCAAATTATCCCAGAGGATTAAATATTTAAGGAGGACTGCAAATAAGACCATAAAAATTCATTAAGCTACTGAATTTCAAGCAAAGTCTGTTCATTTGCAGAAGCCCAGAGTCAAATTATAAGGATGCTCTGTAGGGTCAGTGTGTGTGTGTGTGTGTGTGTGTGTGTAAGACAAACACAGAGAGCATTCATTTGTAAATTTAGAGATTAAAGCAAATCTCTGTGGCTCAAACACACTTCCTTTAAAAGTCTGAATCAGTGATAGCTGCTAAGGAGGTGCTGATTAGAATACACATTGTGTAACCTAGAAATCACTTTATTGCTAACTCTCATATTGGAGGAGTTAAAATGGATTAAAATGCACTAATCATCACTGAATATTATCAACATGGAAATACTAACATAATCAGTATTTTGATATACATGATTGTGGTAACCTCAACCTTAATATTTCATTAATAAAATATACAGAAGAACATATTGATCTTAGACATCTAAGTAAACACGCAAACACTTCCTAAGAACACCTTTAAGAAAAGGAAATTTCTAGATAAATCAGGTATTCATAATTATCTTCGATAGGCACTCACATACTTTACAATACAAAATGTCAAGTGTAAACACCCAGGGATCTGTTCTGTTTAACTCAGAACAGCTCAAAGCATAGGATTAGATCCAATCTGCAACTCATCTGCATGCTACACCCAATCAATAATGTTTGCTTGATGCCACTCTTAAAGTGACAAATGCAATTATATTTGAGCTTTCCAACCCTGAATTATCTTCTGTTCATATTTATCCTATTTTGTATTCCTTAGCAAGTTAACTTTACATTCTTTGATTGCTATGCTCTGGCTAATTCTTCCTAATCTGTTTTTTCTTTATTTTCATTTCCTTTCTAAGGACACAAAAAGGATTCTTTCATGTTACCGTGTAGCTACATAGCTGATTTTGGAGATGGCTCTTCTCCTCTTTGCTGTCTATTAAACAAATTAGGTGATACAGCTCATTTTCAGTCTTCTCAATACCTGGTCTTCATCCCAGCCAGTGAGAAATATACGATAACTCAGAAAGTGAGCTTTCCCTTGTTCGCTCATCTGTGTTTCCAGCGAGAGTAAGAGATCAGCAAACCACTCAAATGCCCTTGCATCCCGGCAGATCCAATAGAAATACACCTGACAAGAGACAAGGCGAGAGAACGGATTGGTCCCACTTTTCATAATGGGCTGATAATGGCAGACTACTTTATCTCCATTAAATTATTGGAGCCCAAATGGGCACTTCTGCAAAATAACATGCCAGTCTCTGCCAGTGAACAAACAGTCACACTGTGATTTCTTTTGAAAAAAATTCACATTGTGTTTGAAAAAGCCCAGAGTGAATTCAGAGTCAGGAGCCTGTGGGCTGTGCCAGTTCCTCTGGCTGCGGATCAACTCGGCACGTTTCTGGCTGTGTGCTTCCTCGGAATAAGATTAATAATCATAACTAGCCGTGCCTTCCACTGCTCCCAAAGGGGGATAAACTGTGAGACCAACCCCTTCATCTTTACTTACGACCTAAGCTCGGGATTTGAACTCGCTGCCCCAGAGACCCCACAGGCTTGGGCACTAATCCACTTCGCCAGTCCTGGCCCCTGGAGAGTGGAGATTATGGTAATTGCTGAATCAAGACACACAGGCCAGAAATTCCCTCTCAGCGAGACAGATCAGTGTCCAAGAAGGTGGGGCTGTGCCTGTGTGTCAACTGCTATGAGGAAATTATGTTGGGGAGGTTTTTTTTTTTTTTTTTTTTTTTTTTAATCTCTGTGTTGAACAAATGGCATGTGACAAGAAGTAGTGTGAATTTTCTAAAATAAAGGTTGAGTTTTGGAACTTTGAGTTTCAGATAATTGCTTCTAGAAGTAACCACAGGAGATAAATCTATGAATGTTCCAGATTTTTCTCACACTCCTGCCTACTGTTGCCATGGCTCATGCCTGTACCTTCTCCCCAAAGAGACACAGTGATCAGCTAACGACGGCTGGGAGGGACTCCTGACCCAGGTGGTGTAACCCCACCTGCAGGCATCTTCCCCAAGGATCAGAGTTCTCTGCCATCAGCCTGCAAACTCACAATCAGATCATCAAAGCCATAGATGAGCTTTAATTAATCAATAAATCAAATTCACAAGGGAGGCAGAAATCACAGAATGTATTTCAAGGCTAAATATCTTGGCTATTCGGTTCAGATTTCTGAAAGAATTTCTAATATTGACAATCAGGAAAAGCAAAGCTGGTGAGGATGAGACTTTTTCTCCCAAGAATTACAGCATATGTATTTGCAGGATGGACATTTAACACATTAGTCTTGGAAGAAATCACCCTCAGTCCCTAAGGAGGATGGCCACGCACACCCCCGCCCACCCCACCACCCCCCGCACACCAAAGGAGGTCCTCTCTGAGGCAGGCAGCAGGCCTTTGGCCCGGAAGCCAAGAGGAAGGGGTCCTGTTGCAACAAACACACACTGAAGACTTAGGACTGTATATGTGGAGAGTGCTCCAAGCTCTGAAGCGGTGAACATGAACAACAGAGAACAAAACAGCAGTAACTCCAAATTCCTTGTTCTCCTGGAGTTTGCATGTCAGAGGAAGAGCAAGACGTTCAATAGGTGGAACACAGGCTAAGTCAGATGGAGACACTTGCCAGGCAGAACCATACGGCAGCATTGCGTGGGGTGGGCAAGGAGGCCTGGCTGAGAACAGAGCCTCTGAGTCAAGAAAGACCTGGAGCAGGCGAAGGAGCTGGGCCAGGCAGGAGCTGTTCTGTTGGAGGGGGCAAAAACAGGGGTCCCGAGCAGACTCCCCAGGAAGAGCAGCAGGCCGAGTAGGGGGAGTGTGGGGGGAGCAGAAGGGGGGAGGGGAGAGGGGAGGCTGGATGGCGCAGGACTTCGCAGCCCTCCTTGCTGTTTTGTCTGAGCGGCTGGAGCGGTGGGGGGTGTTGAGCAGGAACCTGTGGAAGGGGCTGTCTGGCTGCAGGTTGGGCACACACTGGGGGGATGCGGAACAGGAGACGAAGAATGGGGACCAGTTAGGAGGCTGTTGCCAATGACCGCGTTATCCTGTTTCTCCCATCCAAGTACTAACCAGACCTGACCCTGCTTTGCTTCCGAGACCAGACCAGATGGGGCACACACAGGGCGGTGTGGCCGTGGACTGTCTTGTTTCTTTTTGCCTTGTGTAGCGCCTGGTCTAAATTATTCTTTGAATGCCATAGTCTGTGCTTTGACTTGCTGCGCTGCTGGTGGGAATGGAACGCCTCATGACTGAATTCGACACGTGCTTACCTATCGTCCTCCACCTCTTCCTCCCTGCCCCGGGCAGGCGGTTTTATCTCAGAACATTAAGGGTGGCATTTGGCGTGAGCATCACTGATCTATTTTCTATGACTTCTTTAGGAGCAGGCCGAATATGTATTCACATATGAATAATAAACCAAGAGTTTTGCTTTTCTTTTTTTTTTTTTAACAAAGAGAAGTTTTAATTTCGAGTTAGTTTCAATCATCTTTACTTGAGAACCGCCCACATCTTAGCTTCTTCCCCCCACTACCCTTTGTCCTTTCCAATAGAAATCGTTGCTGTCCTCACTTTCTTGTGGTTTAGCTGTGTGTCAGCATTCTTAGGGCTTGCCAAGCCTTTTATGCTTTTTTGCTTCCTTGTAATGGCTTTGTGAGTTTTTCCCTCCGTAATTGACTTCTAGGTGACACCGGGCAGCTTTGGGGCAAGAGACTGTGGCGGGAAAATGGAAGGCTCCGGAGAAGAGCTCCAGGCAGAACAAGGAAAAAAAGAGAGACTTTGAACAGCAGAAAGGGTATTTACTTTGATTGTCTTTCATCTTTTTAATGGACGGGGACACTCACTGCGAGGGGACATGGGAGTTCCACCCCTGCATTTCACCCAGTGCAAAGGACCTGGTCAACGCGACAACAAGTATCTCCGACAATAGACTGAAACTCTGTGATCTGTGCCTTCCAACACTCACCTTCCCCACTTAGCCTCTAAAAATAAAACAACCCTAAAATCAGTTACCTCTATAGAGAACGGCTCTCAGAATTCCGTAGCTGATCTAAGAGGCCCAAAACAGCTAAGGTGATTTTAAAAGAGTTTGTGAAACAGGAAGTCATCCATCCTCTGTACATCAGGACAGTGCTGAACTTTCTTAAGGAACTTACTGTGTTTTAACATCTCACTGAGGATAGAGCGGGTGCCCAGATGTGTCAGGAGGCCTCTGTGGGATCGTGGGCTCAGTGCGTGGGGCTGGCACAGGCCTTTGCTGGCACACCCTTCCCAGGCACTAATGAGCAAACCTGGCGGCGTCCACCTGTGGATGGCCTGGGTCTGAGCCTCACTCACGGTGTTCTGCCCTCTCCCACGTCCCATTCCACTTCCATGTTCCCTGAGGCCTGGGCTCCTTTAAGAATGCTTCAGCACCACGTGGGCACCAGGCCAAAGTGCCCTGGGGCTGGTGAGACATGGGCATGTCCAAGTTTTTTTTTTTTTTTTTTTTGGGACAAGCAGAGTGGACAGTGAGAGAGAGAGAGACAGAGAGAAAGGTCTTCCTTTGCCATTGGTTCACCCTCCAATGGCTGCCATGGCTGGTGCGCTGTGGCCGGCGCACCGCACTGATCCAATGGCAGGAGCCAGGTACTTCTCCTGGTTTCCCATGGGGTGCAGGGCCCAAGCACTTGGGCCATCCTCCACTGCCTTCCCGGGCCACAGAGAGCTGGCCTGGAAGAGGGGCAACCGGGACAGAATCCGGTGCCCCGACCGGGACTAGAACCCGCTGTGCCGGCGCCGCAGGCGGAGGATTAGCTTAGTGAGCCGCGGCGCCGGCCCAGACACTATGATTGTAAAAAATCTCCACCCTAATCCACCATTAACATCAATCCATGAATGGTTAGCCTAAGTCTTTGAGTATGGGGAGTCACATCCTGTTCAAACCATAACAGAGAGAATGGCACTGTGGCCTAGCAGGTAAAGCCACTGCCTGCAGTGCTGGCATCCCATATGGGTGCTGGTTCAAGTCCCGGCTGCTCCACTTCCAATCCAGCTCTCTGCTGTGGCCTAGGAAAGCAGTAGAGAATGGCCCAAGTGGTTGGGCCCCTGCACCTGCGTGGGAGACCTGGAGGAAGCTCCTGGCTCCTGGCTTCGGATCAGCTCAGATCCAGCTATTGCGGCCAACTGGAGAGTGAACCAGTGGATAGAAGACCTCTCTCTCTCTCTCTCTCTGCCTCTGCCTCTCTGTAGCTCTGCCTTTCAAATGAATAAATAAGTCTTTAAAAAAAAAAAAAACATAACAGAAGCCTATGCCATAACTTGAACAGGTGTTTACAACACAGGCAGAGGTCACATTCTAGCAATCTAATTTGTATTCTTTAGAACCAAAATCGATTCCCTGAGAATGAATGGGAACGTATTTATTTATCTATTTATTTATTTATGGCCCAGAATCCATCCAAAGCAAAAGGGTGTCCATGAGGATATAGGTGTAGAACACGGCATAGCATCCTAGACCCCTGGCCTTGCTGTCAGGAGCTGTCATTGTTGGGGGGGGGGCACTGGAGGGCTGCAGGGGGCTTACTCAGCTCAAGTAGATTTCCACGGATGTGGAAATAAACAATAAACACAGAACAGAAAGTCACAGGGGCATCGCGAGGAAGCAGGGAGATGGTCTCCTGCAGCGGTTAGCGCAGTGTTTGTAGAACAAATGCTCAGACGTTCGCTGCTGTTGTTACTGTCCTCACTGTCACTTCGCGGGAGTGTGAGAATGAGCGCAATATATTTATATTACAGAGCAAACGGGGCTGTTTGCCTCACGTAGTCTGTGTTACCACCGGTCTCCGGTGGGCTGTAGACATGGCGGTCATTGAGAGAAGAAGCCACACTGATCTCCTGCATCAGTCTTGGAATTGGATTTTCAGCACTGATGATAATGAATCAGGCCTTAAAGGGGACCCACTTCACTAGGGAAGGAGTATCCCAGGTTCCTCGTACACCAAACTCACATGGAATCCAGTTACAGAGCGCGCCCTTCACTGATGCCTCCCTAGCAAGGAGAAGGCCGTGGGCTGTGATGTGACCAGCCCCCGGGGCAGCACCCTACAGTGCCCCACATGGTGTAGGAAACACACGAGACAGAGG